GCGACGTAGTAAAGAGTTGAATAGTATTACCTTTGTAAGATTTCGATTTGTAATTGTTACGCAATTGAAGATATGATGGATGAATGTCTAAAAATGACTTGATGTGCTCGCGCTCAAGTGGCCAACAGCAGTTGCCTAAGATAGTACTGTAATTGCTAACCTTTCATGTATGTACGTACCAGGGGATTGATTTCTCATCACCTTTCAGTGTTCGAAGATGCTATACACGTTAAAAGGAAAAACCTTGCTGCTGCCCAAGGCGCGGCTTCTCTCTCTCTTTCTCTCCGCATGCTTCCATTACACTTCCCGAATTTTTTCCACGCAGAGATCGGATTACGGTTACTCCGTCAGTCAAATCTATTCTTCCACAGGCTTACAAAAGCACCGCAGATTATCTCCTTAGAAGATTGCGAGCCCGAAGTCGACCTATTCAAAATCAGAGTCTCTGGTAGGTAGGTGATTCATGCGTCTGCTGCTGCAGGCCACCAACTAAAACTCCGTGATGATGCAATGCAGCGCAGTGCTAGAAGATAGATAAAAGGAGACGGTGGGGAAAAGGAAAGGGAGGGAGATGGAAAAGGAGGGAGAGGGAGAGATAGGTAGATACTCACTTCGTTCCATCAAGAGAGAGATCGAAGCGTCGGAACAGGTTCGCGAATGCAAGGTACAGCTCACACCACGCAAGACTAGAGAGAGAGCCATGGAGCATCAGTCAACAGTCCTTAAATCATCATCATAATCATAAGCTGGGATTGAGATAGTTGAAGAAGAAAGAGGGCTTACTTACTTGATGCCAAGACAGCTGCGCGGGCGTTTGGAGAATGGGACAAATTACTTGTCGAGGGTGTGTGTATTTTCGAGCCAGCGCTCCGGCTCGCACTTCGTAGGGTTTTCGAACGCGTCGCTGTGTTTCATGGGGAAGAGGACGCCCATGCTCACAATCGTCCTGGTCTCTCTCAATCAGCGCCGTGTTCAGGGAGGGTATCAGGTAGGTGAGAGAAGCGAAGACTCACGTTCCGGGGATGAATTTGCCACCGATCGTGGTGCCTTGGGGAGGCACCATGCGTGAGTTTTCGGGTGTGGTGGTCGGGGCGATGCGCTATGCCTCCTTGATCACTGCCGTCTCTACATAATCATGTCAGAAGGTGCATATTTATATATGTATATATACCGTATTTATAAACTGTATTGAGACACACGAAAAGCATCCTGAAAGTGCTCGCTCTGTTCGACCTAAAAAGGCTGGGTCTCTTTGCCCACTTTCCCTGCACTTCATGGGGGGGGTTCTATATCATGATTGAAGAACTTAGTCGGTGCTGTTACGTACCAGATGAGGGAGTTTCTCGAGGACTTCGCAGCGAGGGCGGTCGGCAAGGTTGGACCAGGCCTCCTTCAGCTCTATCTGAAGGTGCTGTTACTTCTCGGGGTTGCGCAGTAGCTGATACGTGCCTATAGTCAGAGTCACGCCCGTAGTATCTGTGCCGGCAACGACGAGGGCAATCGCCTCTTCCAGCAGACTTGCGCGGGATGGCGTCGGCTTGCCCTTGTAAAGCTGCGGGTCGATAAGCGAACGATATATAATTGGGTGCGGATATTCGTTGGGTTTCTCCAGCTGCGCAGTGATGGTGTCGATCTGCTCAGCAAACATCTGCACGTCTTGTAACGTTTCTTGAAGGTAACATCGTTGCAACGCACGTTCTTCATCTGGGCAAATGCAAACCCTTGGGGAACATCTTCAGTGACACCTATTCAGGAACGTTCAGGATGAACCTGCGGATCATCGCAAAATGCTTTGAGTGCCATGAACCACGCTACGATCGTCTCCATGGCTTCAAGTACCGGGCTATGCAAGTCTTCATTGCTGAAGCAGTCGACCGACTTGCCAAAGCACGTCGACGTGATGATTTCAAGCCCGAGACAGCGGAAGCCAGACGACAAGTCCGAGGACTTGCCAGCCTTCTTATCCTTTTTCAAAACGTTGCAAAATTTTTCAATCTAGGATATCGTTGTTGATAAAACCAGAAAGAAGGGGGAGGTTACTGCTTACATTCTCCTGGATCATCCATTCAAGTGCGACGAGCTCTTGGTGAAGAATGGATGCAAATATCCTTGTGGACCTTGTTATCTTGATATTTGATAAAAGTGACGGTGGCACCGTCGCCCCCTAGCAGCGCGTACATGTACGGATCCTTATCCCAACGTTTGCGGTATTTCTCATCGTACTACGTACATGGAAGGGTGGTTAAAATGTACCTAGGGGGAATTAGAGGCTATTCATGCAAAACAAATGACCTAGGTACGTAGTAAGTACCGGTAACTCGCCTTATTGGGGCCAATCCTCACAGTGTCACCCGTATGTTTCCTTAGCTACTCTCCCCATGAATACATGTCGGACCCAGTTTAGGCCCATAAATCATAGAGCGGTGGTTTCTGAATGGCTCAAAGCCCTGTCGACTCCACTGTATAGACTAAATACTGGCTCAAAGATACTTTTTAAGGCTGAATCCTTCTAAGTTGATTGGTTTAAGCCTTGATAAGATCCCTTGCGAAAATATACTTTCGTATTCATACAAGTACCACGGTACAGGCCTAAGTACGTAGTACTACTACGTCGCAGGCGTAAGTATTACCCCTCTAGGGTAGGGAAAACAGGGGGTTTAAAGTGGAAACTAAACTTTTAAGGCACCCTCGAGGGGTAATACTTAGGCCTGTACCGTGGTACGTACGTATTACCCCTCGAGGGTGCCTCAAAAGTCTAGTTTCCACTTTAAAACCCTTGGTTATCCTACCCTCGAGGGGTAATACTTACGCCTGGGACGTACCGTGGTAGAAGAGAGTAGCTGCTCCACAGCTTGAGCAGAGCTTAAGGCATGTGCTGCTGCGCACAACAGCAGGCTATAAGTTCTATCTCGTCTTTTCATCTTTATATTTTTATTTTTTATTATTAGAAAGCATATCTACTACGTATATGGACTCACAGCTTCATCTGCTAAGTTTAGCATATTCAAATTCGATCCCGCGATTTTTAAAGTATCGGTAGGGCTAGTAGTATTAGCTGCTATCGCTATTACTTTTATATACTTTGATACGTAGTAATTATCGATATTATCCGCAATGTCTTCCTTTATCCCTTCTCTTGCTTTCTTGGTCTACGCTTGGCTGCCTCCTCCTCTTAATGGTCTGCGTATCAGCAGGTTATCATAGGCCGGTCTATGTATCATATCTGTGAGCGTTTGTACGAATAGTACCGTAAGTATGATACTTACTTTATCTTTCAAACACCGGTACTCTCTCTCTCTCCCCTCATGAATACATGTCGGACCCATTTTAGGCCCATAAAGCATAAAGCGGTGGTTTCTTAATGGCTCAAAGCCCTGTCAACTCCATTGTATAAACTAAATACTGGCTCAAAGATACTTTTCAAGGCTGAATCCTTTATAAGTTGATTGGTTTAAGCCCTGATAAGATCCCTTGCGAAATTATACTTTCGATATGTATCCATGGGAGGGGAGAACAGAGGAATGAGAGCGAGTGTAGGTAGGGAGTTGTAAGTGTCTATCTATATTATAAGTCACCTTGCCCCCATAGACGTCTTCGCAATTGCTCCTGAACGTCAACTCATCAAGGATTCGACTCCTTGAAACTATTCTTTCTCAGCCAAACTTCTTCTCCTTTCGTTGCACAAACTTGCTTAGACTGTCCTCGAACCACCGCCATGGCTTGCCAATTCCTCAAATATGCCGACGTCAACGGTAAGCATCCATCCTATCACACAGTGTTAGAATGTCACGTGCGCGATATCTGACTACTTAATGGTACATAGACAATCTTGCAGCACCAGAGAACACACCATGGCTCTCTCCGGTGCGCTTCGCCTACAATTGGCTTCACGATGCACCCATCAAGTACCTTACTGCGCCGCCGCCATTGGAGTATACTTTAGAGGCACCGTTATCCCTATCAGACTCGCTTGCAAGCGACAAGGACAAGAGGCCGGCGATGGGATCCGGAGCAGCTCTGGACACCACCGGCACCAGAATCACATCGAGCAATAATGCTAACAGCTTTGACATCTACCCCGTGCGGGCCGGCCTGCCGTGGCCCACCGGCCTCACCAAAGTGCGGCAGAGTCGACACTGGCGCGCCGGCCTGCGCCTCTCGACTGATCTCCTGGAGCTCTTCGCGGCCGACGCCACATCGACCGATGCCGTGAGGCGGAATGGCGTGTCGCTCGCTCGCATCGCCTCGCATGAGCTGCTGAACAAGGAAGAGGACCGCTTCACGAAGTTCCCTACGTACATCTTCCCTGAGGCGGATGAGCAGCGCACTCGGCTCTTGGCGGCGACGGTTGTGTACATTATCATCTTTGACGGTAAGTGAAATTCCATAGATTCCGCAGATTTCGTAGATCTATCTCCTCGGCCTCGGCCTCGAGCCTCTGCGCGCAGGTCATGATCAGGCTGGCTAATCCGTGTGGTTTGCTCTGGGCTTATTCGACTGATCCAGATTCATGGGAGATGCACAGCGAAGACAAGCTCGGCGTGGTGCGAGACGATTTCATCAAGCGGCTCGAGGGCGATATTGAGGATGCTGAGCATGCTGAAGATCCGAAGCAGACGACGATGCTACAGGCGCTTATCTCGGACACGGTGCGTGAGTTGAGAGATGAGGACGGCGGGCAGGAGGTCCTTGACCGGCTCGTGGAATTCTGCCGTCACGTGCCTCCTTCCGAAAACACGACGTTCGCCAGCCTGGGGGATTTTCTCAGGTATCGCTGCATCGATGCGGGCATGCCGTAAGTGAAGCTTCTAAGCTATGTATTACAACAATTAACATTTGGTACAGGTTCGTCATCGCGTGCGTTAAATTTTCTATTCGCTCAAGCGTGCGCATCCAGGACCCGAAGCTGGCGCGCATCGTCCGACTCGTGAGCGATCACGTGACCTTGGTAAACGACCTCGCATCCTACGACAAAGAGAAACGGGCGTACGATTCGGGGAAGGTACGCTATCTGATCAACGCCGTCGATGTCGTCCAACGCCTGCTTGCACTCCCATCGCCCGCCGCGGCTAAGTCATTCACCTACGCCATGCAGCTTCAGGTGGAGGCCGAGATGAAGGAAGAGCTGGACCGCTTGATTGCCAGTAAGGAGCTCTCGACCGAGGAGCTGCAGTTCATCGATGCTGCGCTGGTCATGACGGCTGGCAACGTCTTTTACTCGGTCATAGCGTCAAGATATGGGGGAAAGGCGGCCGAGATCAAAATGTAGATAGGATAAGGCAGACTGATAGAAGCAAGGATTCAGAAGGTGTTGATGCTAGTAGGAGAGAGCCGAGAGCTGTACGGAATATTGTCGGAGTGGCCAAGAGGCAAATCCCAGTGTAGCAATGGTACAGGAATAGGGATAGACCCAATGTTTCAACACAGACACGCCAGGCTGAGCATAGTTCAATTTCAAGCCTCACTCGATTCTTTCACTAGCCAAATCCATCGCGATTCTGACCCTTCGCTATCAGTATGGTATATCCATGTCCAGCACATCCTCATCCTCAATCTCTCTTCCACTTCTGTCGCCGAGTCCATAAAGGAATTTTCTTCTTCCCTCGTATAGACGTCGCAGACAAAATCGACGAGCACGGCCAGCTCCCTCTTGCCCGCTGGCACAAAGTGACCGCCGATATGTACGGCGACCGAGATTATTCCCGACGCTCTGTGGGCTATCAATTCCCGCGTCCAGTTCTCCTTAATGATCGTGTCTAGACTTCCGGTGAAGTGGAGCGAAGATGTCATAATCGCTGGGGTGTAGAATGCAGCGTAAGACGGGTGCTCTCGAGGCAAAGCTAGAATAGCAGATGGCAAACCGCAGCGGCGGATAGTCCAAGTGGGCAAAGCCGGCGGGGAACGACGGACATAAGTCTCCATCATGGTTCATTGCTATATGTACAGCAGCAGCAGCAGCAGGAAGGGCTTCACGCCTCCCGGGCTTTGTAAGATTTGGAGAGCGAGAATGAAGAAAAACAAGTCAGAATTGCTTGCTTGCTTGCTTGCAGTAAATACGAGAGGCCTTTCCAGGCCTTATATAGAATATTGGATAGTTCTAAGGCCTTGACGCATAGAATATGCAATAGTATTATAAATCAGAATCAGATCGAAAATTCCTATAGATTTTAGTAGGTCACCTTACCTCACTTGAAATATTTTAAATCAGGTAATAATTATAAATCAACATGCCCTCTTAATTTTTATTTATAAGTGATAGTAATACTTTATTATTACTTACGGTGACTCAAGATAAGTGCCGGGGGGCTACGATATTTTACTTGTAGGAGGTGCCTTTTACGAACCTTCAGCTCTTTTTCTTCCTTTTTCTTGCGGTAAAGAAAAAAACATAAGTCTAAAAAGCCAAAATTGAATCATCGATATGCGACGTTTTTTTGAAGAGTTCTTTTTTTACCGGCGATTCCGAACTTCTTTTCTTCTTCTTTTCGAATACCACGCCGATTACGATTTATACTTGACGAGCATACCGATTAAAAAAACAAAAAGAATTTGCGATAGAATAAGAACGGGTGTAAAAGACAAAAAAAAAAAGGCTTAATTCGATTAATCGAAAACACGGTATTGCGCTTTCGAAAAAGCGTTTTGCAAATATACCGGCTTTATTTAAAAGCTACGAGCGCGAGCCTTTTTAGCTTTACGACAAATGAAAACGATATTTATATTATACAAATCGAGGCCGCTCGGAAGGCTATACGTATTCGATAGTTGTTAAAGAAAAAACTCGATGCATAGCATTATAAATTGCTTTTAAAAGGTTTACATAATATCTAGCTATTTAAACGAGAGCTTTTCTTTAACGCAGTTTTTACTTTCGATTAGATAGCATTTTATATATAATTCCTTTACTTAATACGTCGCCGTACCTTATAAAAGGTCCCCAAGGCCTAAGCATTGCGTTTTAGATACCCGCCCGACGTTAATGGATACAATAATAATAATAATAAAATAATTTCTGTGACGATACGCCAGGTTTCTTAGGTCTCTCTTCACGTGCGCTAAGCTACTTCCTTCTTTTCCTTCTCATATTCTCTCACTTCTCTTGTTTCCCTCTTTTCACCCGTGAACCTGGTTCACGCGTCCCTGGCGCTCCCCACCTTCGTGTATATAAACCTCAGCTTCCTTCAACCTCTACACTCGGTAGTTGTTGATTCTAAGTTATTACTTTGAGATCCTCTTGAACTCCATGTGATCCCCCGCGCTCCCGTGAGTCCCTCAGGTAATCGCTTAAGGTCGTCACAATTGATTAAGCTTTTGCTTAAGCTTTATATCTGCTTATCTTTTCGCTTAAAAGTTCGGTTGCTTAATCTCCTTGCATATTATACGATTGAAATGACTTTTTAGCGTCGATAAGTTGTACTACGTAAATGACTTGAATCGGAACCATTCGAATTCGGTATTTAAGTGTATGTGTATAATTTTCTTACGATTGCCAGCTTCTTACAATGCAAATTCACTACCTTTATATTAAATGAATAAATAAAAGTAAAGTCTAAACTTTTCGAATTGATCTTTATCTTCTTTTTAATTAAGTAATTAGCTCAAATAATCATTGATTAATATTAGATCGCTGATAGCGATTTATCGTGAACGTTCGTAACTTTGTAAATAATTGTCGGTTTCCTTAAATTTTAATTCGAAAGAATTGACCGACTTGCTGTAGCAAGTCGGCACTACTAAGGCGGGACACCCAGCAAGGCGGGACAGTAACGGTATACCACTGATTAAACAACAACTACTAATATATAAAAAAAAAAATCAATATATTCTCAGAAAACTTTGCTTTATAAACGTAAATCAAAATTATAAAAATGCATTCATTTGTAGTAATCTAATACATTGAAATATAGTGAAAAAATGATCAAAAACTATCTTAAATAATTCATATTTACTTGTTTATTGCAAATATCTTAACAACTATAACCTTAATTTAAAAAAACGTTATAAAGATCGAAAATAAATAATTCAATTTATTATATTATAAAAGGTATTAATTATTAAATTAAAGCTGGTAGTTGTGACGACACGCCAGGTCTCCTGGACGCACCTCACATGCGCCAAGCTACTTCTTTCCTTTTTTCCTTCGTCTTCGTATTCTTCGTATTCTCTCATTCCCTACTTTTGACCTATGAACCATGGTTCACGAGTCCTTAGCGCTCTTACTTTCGTATATATAGACTTCAGCTACCTTCGACCTTTATACTCGGTAATTATTGATTTTAAGTTATTACTTTAAGATTCTCTTAAGCTCTTATATAAACCTCGCGCTTCCGTGAGTTCCTTTAAGTAATCGCTTAAGATCGTCATATTATCAACAACTACTTTACTCCGCCGGGAACGGCTTTAATAATATTCCTCCTCTTTAGAATTCCTTAGTAATTAAACGTCAAAAAACATTTAGACGACTCTAACGGTTACGAGAAAGCTTATTTTAAGTACAATTTAAAAGATAGCACTTATATAATACAACAACCTTCGCCCCGCGAGCAAAATCCTTCGCACACTTTTTAAAGCTGCTTTAATAGCTCCTTTCTCTTCCTTTACGGCCTAACTAGCAGTTCCTTTTACTTAAGAAGAAGCTATTAGTGAGCAAGACGATGAAGATGATCCCTCGGCCTTTATTAACTTCGAAAAAGCTTTGGCTTAATATTAAGCTCTCCTCTAGTCTTAACGAAAGGCCGCTAAGCTTAAGAAGCTCTTCGCAGATATAAAAACTCGCAACGAAAAGCTCGATAAAAGCGCTAGCGAATAAAAAACCTTCGTTAAAAAAGTTAAAAAAGAAGCCCGGCGAGCTCGAAAGGAACTAGACTAGCTTTAAGCGGTCTTGCTAACTACGGAACGCTCGTTAAAGCCTCTTTAAATGTCCTTCGAAGATAATTCTAAAGGCAAAGAGCTATATAAGCCCTCGGTCTTCTAAGCTACTCTTTTTATTTATAAAACCGCTAACTTTCGCCGCCTTTTCGTCGACGACGATAACGAACCACCTTCTTTTTACAAGCCAACCAACTTTCGCACTTTAGCTAAGTTCAACACTTTTAAAGCCTTTTCTTTAGCTTTTTAAAGTCGCGCTCGTATCGAACGGATTTTTAACCTTGAACAAAAGCTTTTAAACGGCGTAAGTTATCGAGTACGTTATTAATAAGCCCGCGTTTTCGACAACTTGAAAGCTTTCGAAGAATACTTTTTTATAAAACGCTAACGCAAGAATTACGTCTTTAACTAAACCGAAGAAACAGCTTACTTATTTTTAGCCTTTTTAATTATAGATCGTAGCAACCTTATAACCGCTTTAGAATTCGTTTAGATCGCTTTCGAGTTTTTGAACGACTCCGCTAAAAAAGCTAAAGCGTTAATTAAGTTCGAAAAACTTTATATAAAGCTTAACTAGTAATTTTAAGACTTTTACTTTGTTTTCTCGGAGCTTGTTGCTACCGCCGAAATTAAAAACGAAGATCGATTACGTAAGGCTTTGCGTTTTAAGATTATTAAAACGCTGCGCGATTAATTCTATTTGAAATTTGCTAAAACTATAACTTTTAAAGACTTTTAAACCGCCGTTTAACAATTAGCTATTAGCTAATACGCGTTTGCAAAGCTTTACGATGCTTTACAAGCTAAGTATAATACTTAATTCGCGAAGAGCTTTTATAATAAAGCTCGTACCGAATCTCGCTCGGCTTAAAGAGCAGCGGTTAAGCAAATTACTTATTACGAAAACCGTTAAGATAGCTTAACTCCCGTCTCTTTCTCTATCTTTTAGCGCTAAACCTTTAATAGCTTTAGCGCTAGTGCAAATCGATCTAATCGATTTAATAAATTCTCTTTTTTCGAAAACGCTTTTAAGTTAGCGATTAAGACCTTTAGATCGTTTCGTAAAGACTCGAATACGCCGAAGCTTTTCCGCTACTACTTAGTTAACGAGATAGAATACGGCGCTAAACTCGAATACAGCTTTTATTCGAATGACTCGGACGATAAACCTTACTCCGACGCTCTTGAGGATCATTAAGAGCTCCTTTTTGCTGACTCCGACGCTCCCGATAATAAAAGAAACGTCGAAGCTTAAGCAAAGCTTTTTTCTTAAGCTAGCTTCGAGATATGCGATACCTCGACCTTACGAAGCTTTTTGATAGCAAAGCTATAATTATACTCGTCACCTTTATTAAGAATAGCCTTTCGTATAAAGTATTTGCTTTGCTCGACTTAAAAGCTAATAAGTACGCGCTGATTGACTTAGCGCTACTCAAATCATTTTCTTTCTTTTTTAAACTTTTGATTCAACCTTTCCCGGCCTTATTCTTTATTAAATCATACAATAAAGCTCGTAAAGCTATTATCTTACACTTTGCACTTTTTAACCTTACGGTTGATAAGCGCGTTTAATCTTTTACTTTTTTTCTTATTATTAACTTTAGAAATTACAACGCGATCTTCGGACGAGCATAGCTAGCTAAGTATTAGATTCTTTTTAATTGCGCTCGCCGCAAGCTTTATTAGCTTCGTTCCAACCTTTCGATCGCTACTTACGCTAAACTTATTAAGATTACATACTTTAATCAGCGTAAAGTAAACGCTCGTTATTAATACGACGCTAATAAGCGTGATAGAACCTTAGACCGCTTTTAAAAAGCTTACGACGTTAATTCACTCGTGAACTATAATTTACGAGTAAATTAAGCAGCAACGATAATCGCAAAATCATTTCTTTCTTTTCGAAATCGTCTTTTTTCCGCTTCTTTTTTTAAGATCGTTGAACCCTTTTCTTTTATTCACCTTTTCGTAAAGCCGTTATTCCTTTGCTTTACGAAAAACACTTTTTTTAAAGACTACGCTAAATTAATATCTTAAATAAATCGTAAGCTTAT